CTTATCTGACTATTGCCGTGGTAGCAGCTCTTTCTTTTGTCCTTCAAGGCTATTCCCTATGCCCTCTACAATTGCCAATTTCCTGAGCTGCCTCTGAATGCACACCTGCAAAAATCAAGTTGAAGTCTCACAATACCATACATTTGGGGAACTCCATCATCAGCCTGACTATAGCATGAAGCAGCTCAGGCAGGGAGACTGCTATGCAGCAGGGAGGCTGGTATGCTAGCGGCAATCCTATCTGACTCCTAGTTCCCAACTTCAGAAATAGGGTCTCACATCTGGTTGTTTGCAGAGCAGGACCCCTTGAAACCACTAGAGTTTCTCAGATGACAATTGCCACACTGTTACCCCTACCCAGAGTCATGGCTGATACCATGTGTGAAAGCCTGATGGACATATTTCTGAGAAGAGCAGTCCTCCCTCCCTGTCGAACCAGATTTCAACAATACATATAAAGTTGGCTCTCTCATCCACAGTTAAATTGATAATTTATTAAAGAGAATTTATTAAAGGCTGACTGTACCTTCAGCAATAACAGCCAGAAGCTAGGGCCACTGGGGCTCTGATGACCATGCATTGAGGCAGAGTGCGGAAGGCTGGAACGCATTATTGGCACTAAACACCAAAACTGCCTGTCCCTTTTCTCCTGCCATATCCTCCTCTGCCCATCACCATTGTGTTATTGTCTGCCCTCCCCTCTCAACACAACAATCTCCCCCGACCTCCCTTTCCCTGGTCAAAGAGCCCCACCATACAACTAGATGCCACAGCCCACCCAACCAGTTAGCAAGTCTAGACAGCCAAGACGCTTGTGCCTAACACTCATCCCCTTAGTCAAGACCACCAACCCACATTCCATGCCCCATCCACCCAACATCTAGTGCCTCATCAGCTGGAGGGGGGTCAAAACCTAGTTTGCTAAGTGAATCGAGGTGTACCCTTAACCCCTGTTTCTCAGCCAAGAAAAAACAACCATTATACCCCAAGCAGCACCAGCCGCTCCACATCTCCTATTTGAAACCTTCCAAGTACCAAATCATAAATCCCAGTCCTTTCATTTACTAGTTTTTCAGATAAAAAGTTATAAAACTCTTATACAGATAAAGCAAACAAAAAAGACTCCAGTTCTGTCTCATTGCTGCAATAGTTGGACAATATGGAAAGAGCAAGCAGGTTGGTCCTCTTGCAAGGCCACCGACCCGTGCTGCTGTTGTGTACCACTTCAGGGTGCCTGGGTCTTCACACATAGTTTAAAGACAAAGAGAAGGTTGATGAGTGCAGCTGAGAGTTGGCATTGAGTGAAATAACACAAATGCTTGAAAACCCTTTTGTTATAATCCCCAAATCTCTTAGTCTTTTTGAAAATGAAGCTGTGGAAATGGAAGAATCAAATTCCTTCTCAGAATGATTGAGCATTTTCAATAACTCATAATATTTATGATATTATAATATATTCTAAATATAGAATATATGAAATAGTTAATCAATTCGGAGCTGCCATTGATAGTCTTGTGTTAATGGCAGTATTTAAAAGCTTGGGAATTTTCACAATAATGTTTAAATTAAATCTGCCAGGCCATAAACTAATAGTTGGCCATCTAAATAACATATATGTGATTTCAGCAGATGTTGCAACACATTTTCTCTGGCTACTTTATAGAAGTTGCAGTACAACAATGTATGTTTCATAAATTCAACACATTGACATGGACAGAATCTTTGGGCTGCTGGGTCATGACGAGACCATAACTGGCATAGCATTAATCCTTGCCAATGAAAAGCTCTTAAGTCTTTTTGCGCTGTCAGGACTGACTGAGCATTCTGTTTCTTGTATATGTTAACACGGAACAGGGCAACCAAATGATTTGTTGAATGCAGAGAACACAGTGCTCTTACTTTTGAATTAAGGAATTAAATTATTAATTGCCTTGTATGTCTTAATCACAGTTATTGTTCTTGTTGTACAGTTAGGAAACATACATGATAAATCCTAAGAATTTATTGATGGGCCTACTAGATGTTGCCTGTTTATAAAAGCTGGTGATATTCTGAAAACACTCAGCAACTTCTGGGCTGTGGGATAGATTCACAGCAGGGCAGTGAGATTTGTACAGTATGGCTGTATTATAAGTAGAATAAACACTGCTGTGAGCAGTCAGTTTGGTGTAGCACATTGTATGCTTCAGATAGTATACTCCCATTGATTATACCTTTGTAGAAATTACTTTTTCCTTGTGGGAGTAGAGAACCTATTTGAGAACAAAGCTCATGTTTTCTTATTTTCCTGGATATAGTTTTTGCAGCAGATGATGAGATCCTGTTCTATTTTGTTTCTCTTTTAGACTGCATCCATTTTTTCATTCAGCAGCAAGCATGTGGAAGGCATGGCTAAGAGCAGAATAGAATAGATTTAGAAACTTAATGTTCAGGTTATTGACAATCTGTGTCAACACCATCTCCTAATCTATTCTACACCTTGGGGAAATCTCTGGAATATTTGCAACATACTCATTTTTAAAGTTCCTGAGTTGGGCTGGGCAGACTACTGGCTGTGTGAGTCCCAGCACATCATTTACAGCAGCCTTTCTCAACTTTTTTACTCTGGAGGAACCCTTGAAAATAGTGCATAAAATTATTAAATCTACAGCTCACTGTACATTAGCATAATCAGTAAATTGTAGATTATCCAATTATCCAATAATAACTGTCAGTGCTCTTTTAGCACTTTTAGAGAATATTTTTCTGTGGATCAGTTTATTCTGGCCAATTTATTAGCCTACTCTTTTTGTTTGGTTCCCACTTCCCCACAAAGGATGTCAACTTTCTCAGTTCTAAAAAATGATGTTTATTTTTTTTCCAATCCTGATTTCTTGAAGAACCCCTGTTGAGAAAGGCTAATTTACAGCAAGCCAACTCACGCAAACTTAGTGACAGTTTCAGCTGAGTCAAACAAAATGCTGTGCAAGTTTTAGCTCCCTCCCATTATATTTTCTTGGCTAAAAGTAGTAGATGATGTAGTGCATTTCTGAGCAGCAGTGTTCAGTTAAATTCTCCTGTGTTCAGTTACCTAACAGATACTAATGCATTCTCCAGGAAGATACCGTGCACTAAACAGTAAGGAAAAACGTGTGTGTTTTTGTTCCTGAAAACCACATATCTGACAAGATGTTTATTTTGAAACAGGAAAGGAATTTTAGTGGCTTTTTCATTCTCATTTTAAGGCATCTGGTACAAAACAATCTGAACGAAATGCCGTGAAGGGCAGGAGGGAGGTGGGGGGGGAGGAAGGTTGGTGATATGTTATGCATCTTTTTATCCTCAGACCCCTAGGTTAGTTCTAGAGCAGGCTAGCTGAACTATTAATACATGAAAGAAGGACTTAAGAAATACCACTGGGAGGAACAAATCTTACAAATGAGAAAGCCTGTTGTAACAAAGCATCTTTGTGACTAAATATGGGTGATCTGCTCCCACAGGATTTTTTTAGGTGTGCCCTGAAGCTGCTTACCAGAGTTCTTGTGGGAGCTTTTTCTTTTTGAGAAGTCTGAAATCTCTGGAGGATGGTTAATAGAGATTACTACAGACTTTTTGGAGCTGGGAGATCAGTAATTCTAACTCTAAATGGAAGAGTTGACATTCAGCCTAGTAAAGTCATGGACTGGCAGAGTTAATGGTCTTACATAAACAGTATATGTGTACAATAAATAAAAAACCTCAGTTCATTTGTAGAAAGAACAGATGGGTCATTGGCATCAATGTTGTGGTGCTACTCTGGGGGGGAGACTTCCACTTGCAGGTCCACATGAGTTAAGAGAATACCAGTAAAAGGGCTTCCAAAGCATTTGAAAGAAGCTGTGCATTGGGATGAACAAAGCATTAGTCAAAGTGGTGACAGTCACATGATTGTGACAGTCACATGATTGCTTTCAATATTTGCCATCTGTGTAAACCCAGATAGCACTTTAGCTGGGACCACCAATTAAACATAGTGTTTCTGCATATATACCCATGTGCAAACAGCTGAGGTTGGCTTTTAGAGCCATCAGATGAAGATGTGGCTGCTTTAATGCTTTGAGGAATGTGCTTCAGTCACACTAAGACACTTTGCAAAACACTCTTTCAAGTGTAATCACAAGTACGTTTCTTTTGGTCTGTGGTTTTTCTTTTTTTGGATTCTTTATGAAATGGTACCTATTTTTCAGCTACATTGCTACTTTTTAACAGGTAGAATTCAGAAAGCAAAATGGCTTGTTCAGGACTGCAGGGGACAAGGCATATTAATTGGTTCATCCATTCAAGTCCAAATCTTTGCTTAATATCTGTGATGTTAATTGGTTTAACTATGTTCTCCTGACTCCATGGAATTGCCATGAAATGACTTAAATTGGTAATATGTTCGTAATATAACTATGAAGAAAAATCTTACTTGGTTTTAGGTTAAATGGATTGAATTGAAGGACTTTCCAACCCTTAATGCCCTAGAAGATGAGAGCAGATTTGCCTCTTTAAATGATCTGAAACCAGTCCTTGTCCTCTGGAAAGCTCTGGAGAGGCATTTTTTCTAAGAATCACACTAAGTGTTGCTGAAAAAATTATATGGATGTCCATGGAAAATGGTCCCAGATGTTTGAAAAGATCTTGGCAGGGAAGGGTGGCCTGTGTTCCTGCTCAGGTTTCAGCTGGTTGCCTCCTTGTTGGTTTCAATTTTGATAGCAATTTTCTAAATAGCTTCTTGTCAGTTGCTATGGAGAAGGTTACTTTTTTTTTTCAACCGTCCTTACTGTCTTTGTCAAGATAAGAACTTTCAATAATGGATAGTTTTTTTAAAACAGATTTTTGAAGGTCATCTGATCTCCATGAGAGAAATAATACACTGTGTAAACTAATGCATAAAATGAGGACACTATAGCACATGGCAGTGACATACCAGCTGTATGTCAAACCTCAAATATCTCATTTTCTTCTCTCTTTCTCTCTCTTTTTTAAACTAGGTGACTTTAGAAAAAGTGCTGGGAATCACTGTCTCTGGAGGCAGAGGATTGGCCTGTGATCCTAAGAATGGTCTCATTGCTTATCCAGCTGGGTAAGTGGTTGAAGGCACTCTTTAACTGACTGCAAGTCTGCCTAAAGATATAGTCTGCCAAACATGTAATGTAGTAGAGTGAGGCTTTTGGAAATGTTCTCCTAAATTCATTCCAATTATGATGCATAAGCGATGTCAACTTAAATTGTTGCTAGAGGGAATAATTCTCTTCACCTGTCATCACTAATGAAATTCTTTTTTTGTGGTTCCTCTTCCTGTTTTCCGCTAAGTTTTTTAAACTAGAATGTTGAACAAAAATAAAAAAATAAGAATCTGAATTCCTTAGGAAGCTGGGGTTGCTCCTTTTGAATGGGAAGTAGCTGTGTGATGTGAAGATTTATGAGTCAACGTTCCTCTTGCATGCACAGTTGTTCTGCACCGTAATTCTGGTTCTGGGGTTAGATTGTTCTTCCCAGCATTTCTTAAATGGGTCAAAATAATTACTGAATTGGTGGATAAATTAAGTGAGTGGAGACCATCCATCATATTCTGGAAGCAAGTATTAGTAGGCCATGTGCTTTGGGCTTTCTTGGAAGCTGGTGAAGATACTTCAGATGGTGACTATACACCATTGAATTTGACATAATTTTCAGTTAGGCTTTACATGTATTCAAAGAGATCAAAACGATAGTTGAAAACAGTGGATTCAGATTATTGGCTCCAATGCTCTTGGATCCCATCAACCTTGCCCACAACCCCATTCTCCTTATGTAGTGCCAGAAGATTCCCCAATCCATAAAGTGGAAATTCAACAGCACAACTTTAATCTATTTTCCCCCATAGAAAGAAAATCAGTGCAGTAAACCTTTACCAGGTTTAATATACCTCTTTTCCTTTTAAAAAGCAATCTCAGGAAAATGACAAAAAGGCCCCATATTTTGGTTTCACTGTCTTTGGTGATGTGTCTGCTGTGTTCCCTGCTGCCTTCTAGCCCAATCTTAGTAGCAGTTGCACTGATTTTATTAATAATAGTAGTAGTGTAGTCCCACTGCAAAATAAGTAAATGAAAATTTCCACTCTTCCCCTCAGCAAAGGATGGCTGAATGCTGTTTTGGAAAGACAGGCATTGAAAAAGGGCTGGTAGTCTTTTCCTGGAGTCAAAACTCTCCTCCTCATGTGAGTCTAGCATACTCTATCTCTCCCTGCAAACAGAGCAAAGTGGCTAAGAAGAGCGAAGGGCAGACATCCAAGTTAGGAACTGTAAGCAAGCATCTTGAAAAAGCTGACATGGGCCAGGCATGCCTGCAGTTTCAAACTACAGTGATTCTGGAGTGCAGTGAATATTTAGCTCGTTTTAACATTTCATTTTGCTAATGTCAGTGGGTGGTTCTAATTAATTTCAAACAAGAAGAAAAGAAATTGAAGCCAGTCTTAGAAGGCTGTTGGCTTGGCCACAGTGGGTCAATAGAGGAGGGAAGAACAGCAATAATTTTTCTCATAGCTGGGCTACACCAGCCTTGAAAGCAGCTTTTGTCACTGAGCAACTCTACAGTTTGCTTAGATTCCAACAAACTAGAAGAGACGTTTTTCTTCAGAAGATGTGGAGTCTGTGGCTGGCATCTAAAAAAGAGGGTGGCTCTACAGATTGGAGGCCTGTACTTATTGTGAAATCTGACTATACTTTAAGTGCTGGATTAGCCATTGTAACTGGGGATGATGGGAGTTGTATTAGCCCAGCCTACCTGGAAGGTACTGGATTGAGGAAGGCTGTTTACCCTAGGTTACTGTGGGTTGAAGATAACATTTTATCTGTTGTGCTGTTCTGACACTTTTTAAAGTCTAGCGTGCCTCATCAAAATTCGAGCTAGCACATAGGTACTGAATTTTGGGATTTGGGAACAATGTTGACTATTTAAACTTCTTTGCTGGGAAAAATGAAAAGAATTAGCTAGGTACAGATGGATATTTGCTAGGCAAATGACTGGATGAGGCTCATAAGAAATGAGCCAGAATCCTGCAGCAAAAGCAAATCAAGGGAAGGTTAAAGTGACAAGACAGAATCACAGATGTTGCCAGCTGGAGCCATCCCCCCGCCCCAAAAAAGAGCCAGAGAGATGGCCTTGAGGGAAATGTTCAGAAAATAAAATTCCTTGAGCCCTGTAAAGAAGATAATATTAGGAAGAGATTCAGGGTAGCTCCTCCCTGACTCAATGGGGTATAAGAGGGAGGGGAGAGAAAACACTAGAAAACTTGCAAGATTCTGTAAATACAGCCTATCTCAGTAAAGTTCAGTTCTAGTCTTCTTGTGGAGTCTGTTTCCTGATCTGGACCAACTTGAAGGGCTGACATCCCCTTCCAAATATAAGGCACTGAGAAACCAAGCACTGCTTTGAAGCAATGCCTGATGTCCCTTGTGGTTGATTTTGGTGTGGCGATAAAGCCGGGTTATCTTGGTTTTGCTGCAGAATGGTGGTTTTATGTAGCTGTCATGCAGAATAGGATGCAACATCCTCTCTCTTCAGTAGGCAGTCACCCAGTGCTTTTTGCTGTTCGTCCTGTGAATTGCTACAGTGACTCCCACTGTCCCCAGGCAGCATCAGCCACCATATCTTAAAAGTATCAGCTGGGCCAGGAAGATTGTTCTTGACTATATGTACGTCACATTTTATTCTCCATTAAAAAAAAAAGTATACTTAATAACTGAGCACAGCTTCGAATGGATTTTAAAAGAATGTCGATGAAAGTTGATGAAAATATAGAGCCATATATTTAATGGGCAATGCAATCACTCAGTTATTGTAAGCTGTTGGAGAACAATGGTTGAATCAGAATGTGGGGTTTTTTTTTTCCTGGGGTGAGGGCCAGAGGTCTTTGATAGGTGTGCCAGGTATGGGAACAGGAGAAAAACTAGAATTAGTTGGCTTTAACTGGGAGGGATGAAATTAGTTAATAGGATTACTCCCATGTATTTAATAAGCCTCCACTTTGACCCAATGAAAATTTTAAATCCAGTAGCTTTGGAGGATTAGACCTCAGGGTTGCAGCTTTAAAGCAATAATGGTATTTTCATTTTCTCTGGCCAGATGAACTTGTTTGTCACGCCCACAGTCTCTAAAAGCAGAAATCATTTCTATTTCCACTTGATGAGGAATGATAAGGAAATGTTTGGGAAGAGGTGATGGGTCCAATGTACCTTGCCAAGCTAAGGACATTTTAATAAAACCCGAGAAAACCTGCAGTAGTCTTTAGGAGTCTTTAGCATTTTCAGAAGAAGATAGGGAGCTGAAAAATAGAAAATGTCTTTGAACTTTTCAGAAAGGTCTTGCATGTCTTAGTAAAGAACAAAAACAAAGTGATCTCCCATTAGAATAATATTAACATCTGCCTAACTGGTAATGCCAGAGTGTAAATACATAAGGAAACAGAGAGAAGTCTAACAAATACATGAATCACCTTTCTAAATTCGGATAAAGGGATCACTGTTCGTAAACTCTGTGATGTGATTTGGCTAAATAGCTGCTTGCCCATTATGGTGGACTGCTTTGTGATGCTGGGGGCATGTGCTCCTGTCAAGACATAAAAGAGAAACAGTTTGCCACCCTAATTAAATTGCAGGATCAGTTTGTTTTCTCTTGTTCTCAAGGGATTTATACCTTCTTGGCAGGGTGCAGAAACCCGCTTGGCACTGTTATTACACTGACTATGGAATTTTCTTTCTGCAGCCTCCCTTTAAAAAGAAAATTGGCAGTGGGGAACAGCATTTGCTGGATGCTTGTTCTTAGAGTGATATGCCTTTTGCCGACTGGAGCAGTGCACAATATGCTTGACACTGCATGGGTACCTTCCTTATAGTTCTTGCGTGTGTCTTAGTTCTGCTCGGTTCCACTCCAGATATCCTATTAGTTGACTCAACTTTTATTTAAAACTGCCAATATGAGGCAGGCCTGAGATTCATCTCTCTTGCTCTTTCAGCTCAGTGTCAAATTTTGTAAGAAGCATTATTTTTATAGTAGAGTTGCTGGGAAGCCCACATTCGTTTAGCTGTTAACATCAGTGGAACCTGGCAAGAATTAAATGCTTGAATCTCGCAAGAGGATCACGTCAAAATCTTATAATTTGCTTCTGAATGTCTTTTTAAATTTCTCTTTCTTTATCTGTCTGAGCAGTAATGCTAGTGTTAAATCCCATTTGGCATCTGCTGAATTGATTTGTTCCAGAGCAGAAACCCAAATCCTAATAAATCTGACTTTGCAAGTTAGATTTCTCTTGCAGAGTTGATAAATTGCGAAGTGCCTGACACCAGGGTGGGTTTCCAGACCCTGTAATGTAGGCTTGGGGAATGGCACTTTGCTTGGCATGTTCACCCCTCTTAGGACAGCCAGCGTGAGACTTGACTCAAGACTGAACCTGTAATTTAAGTGCATTTTTAGCCTGCTGTAATTGGTGCATAGTGTACCTCTTCCTCTGCCAAATAAAAAGATTAATGTTTTAAATGAACATCAGGGGGAGGAGGTTGACAAAGTGGCAGAACAGATGAGAATCCCTACTATCCTTAGAATCTGGGTTGTTCTGATTGTTATGGTGTTTGACCTTCCTTTGGTTGCCAGGTGGATACCTCATCTTCTTGCCTTTTCTTGCCTGTACCTAGAAAATGTTATTAATGACAGCAGAGACCTTTAACACTTGCTGTGAATCTTCCAGATTCGCAAGAAATGTGTTCATGAGATCTAGTTTAATAATTTAGCATACGTTTATATTCACTTCACTTATAAATTCTAATGCCTTTTCTAAATTCAGACTGTGTTAAATAACCCAGGGAGAATCTGTGTATTTCAACTTTAGTCTCTGACCCTAGATCTGGACATGATTCTCTCCCACAATCTTGGGTTTCAGCTGTCTATGCCAGCAGTGGCAAAGCCACAGACCACAAGCTTCAATAATCCAAGAACCACATGATATATACCATTCCATTGTAATTTTGCATTAATAGTATAAAAGTAATAGAGTAGTTTATTTAGTGAATGCTGAAGTTGTTTGCTAATTGCTTGGTTTTAAAATAG